CCTGGTGATGGGTATTAAAGAGGGCACATTCTGCGTGGAGCCCTGGGTGTTATGCACAAACAATGAATCATGGAACACTACATCAAGAAAAAAAATATATATAGACAGAGAGAGAGATAAAAATAGTGCCTATCTTATAAGGTGTTACAGGGCTTGGGACAGAATACATGTTTAATAAATGTTCGCCATTATGTTCTTACTTCTTATCTATCATATATGAGGAAAAATTTATTTCCTACATTGTAATGGAACACTTTCTGGTTATCTAGGTCAGATAAATTATTTCATTCTGTGTAAGATCCAGGAACGATCGTGATGTCTGCCACATGAAGTATTGCTGAAAAACAAAAAAAAAAAAAAAAAAAAAACCAAAGTGAAAGAAAAAAATTTATATCCCACAAATGTCTATTCTGGTAACCTAGGAACAGATTAGACTTTTACTAATTTTATTTTAAATATATTTTTATATTTATTTTATAGTTTATAAAAATATTCTATTGCATAACTACATTACCGTTTCTTCAGATAGTTAAGATGATACTGAACTTGTTCATTTTCTCTAATATTGTTACTCAAAACTGCTCTAGAAAAGAAAAGAAAAAAGATTGAATAAATACTAGTTTGAAACACAATGAATATAATGTGTTTACTTTTTCTCCCTGCTTTCTTTCAAGTGCCCCTCCTCACTAGCCAGGTAGAACCAATAACTTTTTACTTTATATCAAATACACTTTTTTTTTCCATGTTTTATTCCTGATTTTATTGGGAAAGCCTCTAGGATTTTGTCATTATGTATACTTGCTGTGGGTTCCAGGTAGACAGTCTTTGTCATGTTAAGGAAGCATCCTTATGTTTCTGTTCTTTAAAGAGTTTTATTATTTTTTTGTTTTGTTTTGTTCTTAAATAAGGAATTGGTATTGAATTCAGCAAATGGTTTAGAATAAATATTAAAACATCATATTATGTTTTCCTAATTTAATCTGTTACGTTGTTTTGACAGCTTTCCTAAAGTAATCTTTAGGTTCCTAAACTAAACTCTATCTGTTTAGTGTTAATTATTCTTTAGATATTCTTTAGATTCTTTAGATATCATTTGGATTTTATTTCTAGTTTAGGAATTCTGCATCTATATTATAAGTGAAAGGGGTTTAACAGTATTCAGGGTGTGTGCTTGTATATACATTCTATTTTTTCAGGTTTTGATATCAGGATTATAATTTTATAAAATGAAAATAGTTTGCCACTATTTTTTGTTTGTTTGTTTCATTCATTTATTTATTGAAATACGATTTTAAGCAAAGGTTCAATCAAAGTTCTTCTTATTACATTCTATAATTGTAATTAATTTAGATGAGTTCAGCTTCTTGATGGCAGAATCCTGTCTTATTTTCTTTGTATCCCCACCATGGTAGCTTACATATAAAGTGTCAATTGGAACTCAACTTCTTAAAGTATCCCTAGTGATAGAACAAGTTTAAAGTTTATAGATAGCAGGTCATGCCACACAGACTTTTCTTTCACTGATGGAATCCTAAGCTTCTGAAATTAACGACTTCCTGCAAAACACCCTATCACCATAAAATAAATAATGACATTTAAAAGGAAATGTTTCTAAGGAAATATGTTTCTATGGGAAACATATAAGTAGAAATCAAGGGTGAAATGGAAAAATTTCATACTTACATTATTATTGAGTCCATCATAGTCTGCAAATGCTCTCTACTACTCTCTGAAAGAGGCTGCCAGGTTTTTCTCTTGTTGGATGCTATCTTAACCCGTTTTAGATTAGTATGCTCTGTTTGTCCTGTTACTGGTGAAAGAAGAGACTCTGGTCAATCTTGAAGTTTTATGTTTTTACTTAAAAAGTGATTCAAGTATAAATTTATTTTAAAAAGCTAATAGAAGTATGAGAACCAAAATATTATAAGACTGCATAAACTATTTAATTTCCTTTTTATTGCACAGACATAATATGCCAGACATTGAATATTATGCTGTCTAATACTATGTTAACTAAAATACTATTAGCTGATACTGCAGATACAAACCCAAGACAATTCTAAATGAAGAAGCGGGCTACAATTATTAGGATTCAATATAAAAGTCTGATTCCCAGAAATGACCTAAATTAAAGAGCTTCATTGAGAAGACTAGAAAGCTATTTCTACCAAATGTTAAATGGCAACTGGAACAAAATATTCAGGGTCTACTTGGTTATCGGTATTGTTTACTTATAAGAGATAAACAAAGGAGATACACTAATGGCTCATATGAAGATTAGTTTTGGAGAGAAGGGAGTCTAAGTTAATTTTAATTATAGGTATGCAACGCATTACAAAAGAAAAAGTGCACCATGAACTGTGGAAGTATAAAACCAGGGAACCTAGCTTGGTGTTGGTGAGGAGAGAAAGGGAATTCTTAGATGAAGTGATGCCTAAGGAAAGATGACCACTCCAAAATTATTTATTACAAACAAAATTAGATAGTAGCCCCAAACTAATCTATGCAATGGTGGTAGGACAGAAGCACGTCTGTTTTAAAGAGAAATCAGTAGGGTATCTATATATCTTAGATCAGTAAAAATTCAGATTGTGGGACACTTTGATTTTCTCTAGTTCCTACCAGTTTAGAACTTTACACAATATTTTGCTAGAGGCGGTAAGTGAAATTTCAGTTGACCAAAATTACTAACCAGTACTACTTATTCTTGCAAAAATGAGAATGCAGCTGTTTATTACTATCTTTTGTTTTTTTAAAAAAAAGATTTATTTATTTGAGGGAGAGAGAGAGAGAACACACATGGGGTGGAGAGGGAGGGGGAGAGGGTAAAAGTCCCAAGCATACGCCTCGCTGAGCGCAGAGCCGACATGGGGCTGGATCTCACGACCCTGAGCAAAAACCAAGAGTCAGACACTCAACTGACTATGCCACCCAGGAGCCCCTAGTATCTTTTGCTTTTGTACAACTCATGAACAAGATGCTGAGAATTTTTTCATGAATACAGACAGCTTGAGACAGACAAATTAAACAAGATATAGAAAATAAATACCTTCAGAAGGCAGATGCTTTGGATTTTTATTTTTTGCTATGTTTCTAACCTAGAGAGAAAAACGCACACATAATTAAACATCAGATAAAAAGACACTACCTTTGCAATATATTTGTCATGTATGTTGAAGAGTATTCATATATCTTCTGGCTAGATAGAAAAAGTATATTGCTACTTCTACAGAGAAGGGGTGTGTATTTCTCACAGGCAAAGGATATACTAAAGCAATTCCTGGACAATGGTAATAATGTACAATAGAATTCCATATAGTGTCAAATATTTTTTTTAAGATTTATTTTTATTTATTTTAGAGAGAGTAAGAGAGAGAGCTTGCAAGTGGAGGTAGGGGTAGAGAGAGAGAATCTTTCAAGCAGACTCCCTGTTGAACAAAGAGCCCTACTCAGGTCTTGATCCCATGACCCAGGAGATCATGACCTGAGCCAAAATCAAGAGTGGAATGCTTAACCGACTGAGTCATCCAAGCGCCCTGTGTCAAAGAATATGTTAAAGAAATCATTAGTCATTTTGCCTATGAAATAGTGTTACATACTTTACCTGCAAAAAACATAGGCATTGCCTAATATAGGATAAATCACAACAAAATTTTTTACATTTTAAATATTCTTCTGTAAGAGGGGGCAAAATTATGGTAGAAAGAAGCTAATTCCTCCCAAGGTAATTTTTCTGTTAATAAAAATCTCTTCCACCAACTGACAGATTTTAAGTAAAGCGTACACACTTTACTCCTAGTCTTCACATCCAAACACCTTAGCAATGTCCCATGACCCCCTCCTCAACAAAGAATTCTCTGATCAGTATCTTTAGAAATTAAAATAAACAATTTTCATCTGAGAATTTTTACAAATTATGTTGCAACAGCTCCCACATAATGATATGAATTATTATAATTTGTACTCAAACTGACCTTTAGTCTTCACATACTCCTTTACATAGAACAAATGACATTTTTAATCAAAAAGTTCTGAATGATAAACTCAATATTTTCATTACCTTTTTCTCTGGTAACTCCATTTCCTCAGCATCCTTTTTTCTTTTTGGTTTTCTTTTTAACTGTTGAGACCTTTTCTTGGAAGAACTTGCTTTGCTAGACATCTTAATCTAAACAGAACAATTCTAACAGTGCTTCAAAAAATCTGTGAAGATAAAAAGGACGCAAAAATAAGCTTAAGCTTGCAGAATATTTTGTTAAAAAGAACTACCTACAGGGACGCCTGGGTAGCTCAGCCGGTTAAGCGGCTACCTTTGGCTCAGGTCATGATCGTAGGGTCCTGGGATCGAGTCCCACATCGCTTCTTTGCTCGGCGGGGAGCCTGCTTCTCCCTCTGCCTGCCACTCCCCCTGCTTATGCTCACTCTCTCTCTGATTAAAAAAAAAAAAAGAACTACCTATAAATGTTCCAAATTTGCTTTAAAAAAATCATAATGAAAGTTTTGGGGAAGTATTGTTTTTAGAACATTTAAACATATTTTAAAACAAGTAACACTGATTATTATTAAAGTATGTATCTAATTCAGTTTCATTCCTAGAAATTTCATCTATTTTTACGGCTTTAAAAAAATCATGTGAAAGTGCTTTTGCATCTCTTACTTTATACTCCACCATACAATAACATTATCTCCATGTTTAGATCTAAGAAAATGGAAATATAAAGTATTAAATTGTTTTACTCTGGTCACAGATAATATCAATTTGAAGAGTAATACTCAGGTCTTCTTATTTTAAGCCTAATGGATTTCTCATTCGACTTATGCCAAAGATGAAAGGAGATAATCCTTAGGATCCATACTATGAATCTATGCTGTGGAAATTCAAGTGGAAAAGTCACTCATAAGGATTTAAGCTACAACTCTGCCTGGGCTATTTGCATTTTAAAAAAGCTCAGTAGTATAATGATTATTCTGTCCTTCCACAAATTACAAAACAGGCACAGGAGTGTGGATGATTTCAATGACAAAATTTAAGTCCTGTATCACCAAATAGTCCTTTATCACCAAACTCATTACTGTTAAAAGGAACAGAGGAATAGAATGTTTATTCTTGCATTAGGCCATAAGGAGTAGATAGCTTAGAAGTTAGGTACAGTATACATGGAGGAGTGTGTGTGTGTGTGTGTGTGTGTACAGGTGTACCTCAGAGATATTGCAGGTTCCATTCTAGATGACAGCTAAAGTGAATATTGCAACAAAGTAAGTCAAATGAAATTTTTGGTTTCATTTGCATGTAAAAGTTATGTTTACATTATACTGTAGTCTATTAAATATGCAGTAGTATTATATCTAAAAAAACACTGTACATACCTTAATTAAAACAGCTTTATGGCTGAAAAATGCTAACTATCATCTGAGCTTTCAGCAAGTCAATCACCGATCACAGATCACCCTAACAAATATAATAATAATGGAAGAGTTTGAAATCTTGCAAGAATTCCCAAAATGTAACAGACAGAAAGTGAGCAAATGCTGTTGGAAACATGGAGCCAAAAGACTTGCTGAAGTGGGATTGCCACAAACCTTCAATCTGTAAAAAACGCAGTATCTGTGAAGCACGATAAAATGAGGTATGCCCATATACACATATGTAGTATATACATCTTATTTATATATATATATATAAGCTTTTTTTTCAGTAAGATTAACAAAAATGGTGGAAAATAATTAATTGAAAGATCACCACTATACTTGGGGACTACATGTAAGATCAGTTACAAAAAGCTCTAGTAAATTACACTTTACCCTGCTCTTGAACAATGTGGTACTTTACACCCAGTTAGTGTTATATTCCCAAGATGCCTAATTCTTTCAACATGACATCCATGCCCTTATCCTTCCCCGACTTAAAAACCAATCCACATGACAGTTTCACTTGTGGGCCTCTCCTGGAAGGGTTACGATACATATAGCAGTACAGGTTTTTCAACAAAGGTGAGGGAGCAAGTGAGGGCTGAAATTTAGTCCTCACTCCATTTGGTAGACTAAAAATGGTGCAGATTCCTTCTTACTCCTGTTACTGAGAGATGGAGTCTATGTCCCTTTATCTTAAATCTTGGCAGACTCTGTAGCTGTTTGAGCAGTAGAATATGGTGGAAATGATTCTGTACTAGTTTGCTGGCCTAAACATGAAGAGACCAGCAGCTGCAACATCCTCATGTTTGGAATATTTGCTCTTGGAACCCAGCTACCATGCTATGAGGAAGGCCAACATGGAAAGGAACTGAAAGGCCCAGGCAAAAGCCCCAGCTGAACTCCCAACCAATAGCCAGTACCAACTTGCCAGCCTGGTACATGTACCTGAACCAATATGCTGCAGCTGACCCTGCATGGAAAAGACATGAGTCAGCCCTACCAAGTTGTTTCTGATCCCGGATTCTGGAACAAAATAAATGATTTTTTAATTAAAAAAATTTAAAAATCCTTCCCCAATACCTACCACACAACATCCAACTCTTTACCATGTCATTTATAGTTCTTAACAATCTAGCCCTGCCTAGCTTTCCATACTTCTCTCCCACTACTCCTTATAAGACTCCCTCTCTCTAGCTAGATTTGATGATTTCCCGAACACACTTTGAGTAATGCATACACTATGCCCTGTACCTGAGCTGCTCTCCTCTCCTGTCTCTGCCCACCCTCCCAGAGCATGAGCCGCCTGCTCTTGATGCCTCCTAACCACTCCACTCCACTCTAAAAGTCTGTGGGCGCTTCTGGTGTCTAACTCTCAGCTGGCACTTATTTATAGTTTGGTTCTATTAATCAGTTTTTCTTGATATTCTTTATTGAAAAACATGTAATTTAGTGCTACTTCAAATTTGACTCACAAACTACTATAGTCCTTTTAAATATAGAAACTGACAGTATTCATTTAGAAACTTTTATCGTAATTTGGCAAAAATTTTATGTATGTTGAATCTGATTATAAAATAATTGGCTTTGTTTTTTCTTTTTAAATGTCATTTTCCCAGTAATTTGTTTAAAAAAAAAAAACCCACCACCTTCTTTTTTAGAGATGTTTTAGGTTCACAGCAAAATCAAGCAGCAAGTATATAGAGTTCCCATATACCCCTGTACCCCCCACTACTCCCAGCTTTCTCCACTACCAACATCCCACACCAGAGTAGAACATTTGCTATAATTCATGAACTCCCACTGACATATCCTATCACCCAAAGTCTATAGTTTACAGTAGGCTTCATTCTTGGTGTTAGATACTCTATGGGTTTGACTAGCAAATCATTTTTGGTTGTATTGTACAAAAGAATCAGTTGTAGCTGATTAAAAATTAAAAAAAAAAAAAGTTGGTCCTTTACTAGCGGCAATACGAGCTGCACCATTTTCATTGATACCTACTTAAGCCAATAAGCCATAGCACAAAAAGTTTCTAAAGCTCATTACTATCAATATTTTGGATGGGGTAACTCTTTGCTGTGAAGGCTGTCCCATGAACTGTATTCTGGTCTTTAGTTGCTAGTACCCTCCCTTCCCCAAGGTGTGACAACCAAAACTGTCCCCAGACATTAAATATCTCCTGGTGTGAAGGCACCTCAGATTGAGAACCACTGCCAAGAGCAATTCAGGGATAAGGATGAATGGCCTGGTTCCAAATCCTTGCTCTGCCATTTAACTAGCTGTACAACCTCAGGCAAGTAAATTTGTTCAATTTCCCCACTAGTAAAATGGGTTAAAATTAAAAGCACCAACATTAAAGGCTTCTGTGAAGCTAAAATTTTGTACAGAATACGTAAAGTGCCTAGAACAATACTTGGGACATAGTAAGAATTCAATAAATAAAAGTCACAATTTTCTATCACTACTGGGCCAGTTGTAAAGGAACTAGAATAGAAATTTTAATGTAAATGTAAAAGGAATAGAAATTTTGCCCTGCTTTAGATCCACAGGAAACCATAGCCCAGTGACAGTGGGTAGAGACAGATATGAAAACAATAACTATATAAAATTATATAGCGGGCGCCTGGGTGGCTCAGTTAGTTAAGTGACTGCCTTCGGCTCAGGTCATGATCCTGGAGTCCTGGAATCAGTCCCGCATCGGACTCCCTGCTCAGTGCGGAGTTTGCTTCTCCCTCTGACCCTACCCCCTCTCGTGCACTCTCTCTCACTCTCTCTCAAATAAATAAATAAAATCTTAAAAAAATAAAATTATATATCATGTGACAAAAGTTATAAAAGACAAATGAGTGGGTGACTCTCTCAAATTGATGTGTATGCGTGTGGGGGGGGAATGATATACAGTATTCAGAAAAAAAAAAGTAACATGGGAATTACATTTTGAAATATTTAGCCAGAAGGATCGGGAATGAAGTATTTGAGAGAAAGCAGCAAAAGCCTGATGGCAGAACAGTTGGAAAGAAACTGGTCTGTTCGGGCACAGGGAAAATTCAGCGAGACTTGAACGTGTATGGGAGTAAGGGACAGAAACAAGATTGGAACAGTAGTTTGCGGCCAGACTATATACTACAGTAAAGAATTTACTCCTTACTCCGTAGGAAACAGGGAGGCATCCTAACTTGTCTTATTTTTCTTACCGGTTTGCTGAAATTCGTGGAAACCAAGTCTCTCAATCTAGGCCTCAGTGTAAGCACACAGGGCAAGCACCAAGTCTGGCGAAACACAAATAACGCAGTTTACCTCCTGACAAATGCCTCGGGATAGCAACGCTGCCGCAGTTACGTCAATGCCCAGACACTAATCTCTAAGGCTGCACTTCGCACCACTACGGGCCACGGGAGGTTAAGGAAAAAGAACTAGGATGAAGATGAATTGGGGAAAGGAGGGAAGAACCCAGGATCCAGGTGCGGCTTCACTACCTCCTCGCAAATCAAATATTTCAATCCTTGGCCCCGAAGGGCAGATATGGAAAATACATTTGGAAAATCACCTCACGCTCCTGAGATATAAGCCGCGGAGTCTGCCACAATCGCTTTGGCCGCAAAACTCATGCCGCAAGCTGGATCCACCAGCGGTTTAAAAGCTTTCACTAATCACCGACGACGCCTCTTCAATCCTCCAGGGAGCCACTGTCGGCGCAATTCGCGCCCAAACCTTTGAAAACAGAGGAGGCCCGGAAGTGGGCGGGTAGAAGCCGGAAATGCCGGTGGGAGAGGCGGGCAACTTGGTACAGTCCTAACGTCATCAAAAGTGCGCCCACGGGAGCGCGATAAGATTGGCCGCAGGGAGGGCGGTGTCGGCCTACGCCCCCTGACTCCTCCAGCTGACTTTTGCGCAAGCTCAATGAGGGGTTTGGCTGTGTGGACCTCTGGCTCTCAGGGCTTGGAGCTCCGAAGTCCAGCCGCCCTCTCCCACAGCAGAGGTCAGAGACAGGCGGGCCAGTGAGTAAGACTGTGCACCTCGGGATACGTCAGCCTTTCAGCTCCCTCCATTCTTCTGGCTCCTGTCTCACCACTTACCCCTGTCCTCTGAGCCTGTCCTTTTTCTCTTCCCACCTTCCTTATTTACCTTCCCACTATGTCGGCACCCTGCTCCCCTCTACGTTCTCCTTGGGTTTAGATTCTCTACCGACCTCTCACTTTCAGCGTGGTGTGTGGGAATTAGGAGGTACTGCTGGAAAGAAGATGCTTGTTCGCCTCAGAGGCCATGTCGCCATCTTCCCTGGCCACCCCAACACCCCAAGGTTCCGCTAGGCAGAGGGCGCTGTCAAGATGACGCGGGGGTGCTCTGGCTCCACAGCTGCCTCCCCTCTAGGCTGCGGCTCTTGTTACTGTAGGTTTTTTTGTAAGAGGTGACAGGACTGAAGGTGACTTTCTGTATACAGGTGGCGGTAAGGGTGAGGGTGAAATAGGAAAGACAGGTCTAAATTGACATAAAACTGTAAATTACTAACTTGTTCGGTTTGATCTTGAAGAGAGCAAGATGTCGTCATCTCCAACCCAAATTGCTTGAAGATTGGAGGTGGCTAGCCTTTCCTGCAGTATTAATGTGAAACCACGTTATTTGAAAAGTTATTTGATTCAGAACTGTGGGTATTTTACCCATATTTTGGGGGGCTGTGGGGGTGGGCTTCATCATTATTCTCTAACACATTCTAATCGTCAATAACATATTTGTTTTACATTTTGCTTCCTTGGATGCTTGAAGCATCTTCACGGATCTGAGAAAATTGAAGTCCTGTTGCCATCAGCAGTAGTTGTGTTCTTATCTAAAAATGCTGTCTGTTTTCAGCCTTTACCAATTTGCCATGTGATTCTCTGGAAGTCACCTAATAGAGGGCTCTTTCCTATCGTTTGTCCAGGTTTGGGGAACCAGTATTTTATGTAAGTGAGTGTGATATGTCCTGTCTACAAATCTAGACTCAGGCAGTTTTCAAGTTACCTTTTATATCTTTACTACTGTAACGGTTCAGTCATAAATTAATTATTTTTCTCACCTACTTTTTAAGCTAGTACATGTAGTTTATGCTTGCAAGAAGATGGATGACAAGGACCCCATGGATATGATAGGATAAAAATCATAGTAGCTTTACAAGAATAATGGGAATTGTTTTGTTGTATTTCTGTTTAGAGTTTGTTCTATGTACTTTTTACCCAGTTGAACATACTGCATTTACAATGTTTTATCCTGACTCTTTCACTAAATACTTTTTTGAGACTATTTCCTTTTTAAAGAAACTAAGCATAACATATTTTAAATTTGACTTGTGTATAATATATTTCCAGATAAGTGAAAATATCACAATTGTACAGTTTGACGAATTTCCACAAACTGAGTACTTCTTTATAATTAGCATTTGGATCAAGACCATCACCCCAATGCTCCTCTCGCTCCCTTTCTGTAGTAGCCACAATAAGTAACCACTCTTCTGACTTCTAACATTAAAGATTAGTTTTGTGTATTTCCTATATATATATAAAGATTTTATTTATTGGACACAGAGAGAGAGAGCACAAGCAGGGGGAGCTGCAGGCAGAGGGAAAGGGAGAAGCAGGCTTCCTGCTGAGCAGGGAGCCCGATGTGGGGCTCCATCCCAGAACCCTGGGATCATGACCTGAGCCGAAGGCAGATGCTTAACCGACTGAGCCACCCAGGCGCCCCCTCTAAATATATTTTAATAGCTACATGAAATTCTGTCATTTGTATGTACTATTCACTTATTCCTACATTGTTAGACATTGAAGATGTTTCTAAATTTTCTTTATTACAAGTAAAACTGTAGGAAACATGTATTTTTATGTAGTAACTTTCCCAGGAGTGTTGTTCCTCAGTGGAATGGCATAATCCGTTCTGACACTTTTTGTATGTACTGCCAATTTGCTTTCCAAAGTAGTAAAGGCAGTTAATATTCCCCCCAGTGGTTTGTCTTTTGTTTCACAATCCCCTAACAAATGTTGGGTATTCTTATTTTCCTTTAAGCTTCATTAAATTGATAGGTAGGAGATGATATGGAAAATACAATTTTAAGCTCACTTTACTTGTTGCTGTATACATTATATGGCATGATGAATATATTAATAAAATTTGCATCTCAAAGTCTTTTAAAATCCTAGGTTCTATATGTTGAGGCTGTATGACACTGACATGCATTTGAACAAAGAGTGGAATTTTGTTTAACCTTATTTATTCCTTTATTTCTCTGGATCTTAATTTCTACATCTGTAAAGTAATGAAATCAGATTTAGTCACTTAGTGTAACACTGTGCTAGTTATCAGGAATATACACCTCTAATGTAGAATCAGTTTATAAACTAGCAGAGAAATATATATATGCATATGTATATATATTTATATAAAATTTTATACACATGTATTTGTATAAATATAAAATACATCTTAAATACATTTTATATAAACATAAAAAACAGTGTTCTAATATATTGTAGTGTGGGGGATGACAGATGTGTAAACAGAGAAAGTGCTGTGGTATGGATTACTGAAGAGCTCATTTAGCCCAGCTTATGAGTTCAGGGAGAGGCTGTGAATAAATTATTTAAATGCAAGGACTCTCAAACCTAGTGCTGCCTGCGGTTTAAATGTTGGCTCTTCTGTGCCTTAGTTTCCTCATCTGTAAAATGGGGATAATATTAGTATCTGTCTTGGTGGTGTTGTGAGGATTAAAATGCTACTCTGTGTAAAGTCCTTACAGCAGTGCCTGGCACATAGAAAGCCCTGTGTATTGGAGATGATGCCTTAGCCACATTAGCCAAAGAGGAACATTCTAGGTAGATGAAAGAGCAAGAGCAAGTCACAGAACTTTGATATATGCAGGGAGCTGTAGGTTATCCAGTATTTCTAGAACAAAATGTGTAGAGGACAAAAGCAGTGATGAGTCTGAGAGGTATGCAGAGATCAAGTCATAGAGGCCTTGAATGCCTTTTTGTCTCGCTCACCACTTTTTTCTCCAGCACCCAACACAATGCATGTCATAAAGTAGGTATAAAAATATTTTCAATGAAAAAATTAGGAGGTTGTATTTTATCCTTTACATAATTCAGGGCCTTTGAAAAATCTTAAGTATGACATGATCATATTTGCATTGGTGTCAATATGTAGAATGGATTAGAGGGTCTAAGACTGGCGGTAAACCTAGCTAAGAAAGTATTGAGGAAAAAGACTAGAACAATGATAGTGGTTGTGGAGAAGAGGGGCCAAAGTTATAAAATACCAGATATAGGAACCAGAAAAGGAGGAGATACTAAAATGCCACCTTTATTCCCTTCTCACCAATAGTTCCCATTTTGCCTTTTGTAAATACATGTATACTCTGCTTCTTTTTCTAGGCCAGTCTTGTTCCTTTTGAGTGTTTTTCATGGTCCATCATGTTGAGGGCTAAGACTCGGCTTCTTTTGCTTTCACCACACCACCTGAAGCAGCTCAAAGAGTCACCAGGATCCAGGCTTATATGGCAGCGACTTCTGCATCAGCGACAACCCCTTCATCCAGAATGGGCTGCCCTGGCTAAAAAGCAGTTGAAAGGCAAAAACCCAGAAGACTTAATATGGCACACTCCAGAAGGGATCTCCATAAAGCCTTTATATTCTAGCAGGGATACCAAGGACTTCCCTGAAGAACTTCCAGGAGTGAAGCCATTCACACGTGGACCATATCCCACCATGTACACCTTTAGGCCCTGGACCATCCGCCAGTATGCTGGTTTTAGTACTGTGGAAGAAAGCAATAAGTTCTATAAAGATAATATTAAGGGTGAGATTTTAATGCAACACATAATATTTATAATCAAACATACATTTCCTGTTCTTGGCTTCTTTTGAAGGGAGACTAGTTAATCTCTAAAGATGATAGTCACTTTATAATTTTGTAGTCAAGACTATACTCTGAAAGATGAATGTTTTTCAACTTCCATGGTCAAAAGGATGGGTGAGCCAGATTAAGGTGCTAAATTCTTGAATGCCAACGACAATTAACATGCAGGTTATGGAGGCATCTGGATGGCACAGTCAGTTGAGCATCTGACTTGGTTTTGTCTCAGTTCGTGAACTCAGGGTCTTGAGATCAAGCCCTGTGTTGGGCTCTGCGCTCAGTGCTCAGCGCAAAGTCTACTTAAAAAAGACTCTCTCTCTCTCCCTCTGTGTCCCCCCCAATAAATAAATAAATCTTAAAAACACATTATGTAAAAGGAATTAGGTGAAGTTGTATGGTAAAAACAGACCTTGGCTTTTTCTTTGAGAAGCTTTTAATTAACATTGTCAAGATAGGAATTGAAGGGGAAAATGGTTTAAAAGATGCCCAAATAAAGTAATAAACAATTGATAATGTACAAATATATTTAGTGCAGTCTGGCATTCATGTCTCTGAAAATTATATTAACTACTATTTCTTCTACCTGGTCTGTATTAAAATCATATTGTTTGAATGCTAAATTTGAGGAATTATGAATTTATATTGCACATGGAGTATTGACCTTATATTTAATCTAGACTATTTTAGTTTTTTTCATGGTGTTCCTAATTCTGTTTCCCAGAATATTTGAATAGCCAAGACATCTTGTTATGACCATATTAAATACAAAAACGAAAATAAGTAAGCGTACAGATACAAATGATGTTAACTATTTGTAAACAGCCAGATCTTTTCATGAATCTTAAAAAATGTTTCTACTTGAAATTGTTAAGATAAGGGCAAAATAGGTGAAGGGGATTAAGAAGTACAAACTTTCAGTTATTAAAAAAAAAGCTAAGATAAAAAAAGTCCTCAGACATGAGATAAGTGAGATGTTTTATTCTTTCTGTTCTGCAACTCATTTTGTGCATTTTACCACATAGGAAACAACTTAGGAAAATGAAGTATCTTAATTTGTTTTGACATGTATGAGCATAAAAATGTCTGTTGTAAAAGTATACAATGATGAGATGAATCAACACCTTTAGTAGTGTTAATTTAAATTAGTTTACTTTGATGCCAGACTCCTTAAACCTACATTGTTTTCCTTTATGTATTTAGCTGGTCAGCAGGGATTATCAGTTGCTTTTGATCTGGCAACACATCGTGGATATGATTCAGACAACCCTCGAGTTCGTGGTGATGTTGGAATGGCTGGAGTTGCTATTGACACCGTGGAAGATACAAAAATTCTTTTTGATGGAATTCCTTTAGAAAAAATGTCAGTTTCCATGACCATGAATGGAGCAGTTATTCCAGTTCTTGCAACTTTTATAGTAACTGGAGAAGAACAAGGCGTACCTAAAGAGAAACTTACTGGTACAATCCAGAATGATATACTAAAGGAGTTTATGGTCAGAAATACTTATATTTTTCCTCCAGAACCATCCATGAGAATTATTGCTGACATCTTCGAATATACAGCACAGGTATTTTCTGCTGCTTATGGGTTTTGCTTTACTTCTTTGGATGTAGGAATTTTTATAAAGTATTATAACCTAATTTGAATTTGATAAGTGAGTCTGAATAATAGTTTTAGTATAAAGTCAGAGTATGGGTTTTATGTGTATGTGTGTTGTTAGTTTGTATTTTTTTGCTTTTAATGTACTCATTTTATACTCTCTTGTTATCTATAGGATTCTGGGCATTAGACATTTACTGTATTTTTCTTTATTAAAATTTTTATCTTCTGATAATTGTTAGAATCAAGGAGGGTGCATAATTTATACTTTTTAAATTTCTTTCCAGAATTCATATTCAGTTTTGAAGTATACACTGTTGTCAGACAGCTGGGGATCAGATTATCAGCTTAATAAGATATCACTTGTATCTGCATCTACAATGAGGTCCCTCATATTTCACCCCTGAATTAGGTTCATCTTCCCCAACAGAGTGGTGGGAAAAGAAGGTTCTTATAGGGTTCCTGTGTTAGTAGTAATCCCTCCACGGGGAAACATAAAGCTTCATCTTCCTCTGAGTAATTAATATGTATTTTCCCCCATCACTCACACTTTGCTTCTTGCTGGCAATTCTCTGCTTCTCTTAACCTACCTTAAAATTAGACTATATTATTTTCATGGCAAAAGCCCAATCTCTCCTCCACCATGAAAACTTTTTTTTTAATCTCTTACTCTTCTAATTGCTGTTGTCTCAGAACTCTTGCAAGCATTGCCTACTCTCCTCATTGATATTCAGCCTTTACACTTGGCAATTTTATTTCTTTTCATAGATCCTATTTGCCTATGTGAACTGTATTGTATAGAATTGTATATTTTTATCCCCCTTTTCAATTTCAAGAACATATGCACAGGATTACATTTAGCAGCTTATGACAAACGCACATACACAAATAGCAGTAGCTTAAAGTAAGTAGGAGTCGATTCTCTTTCATCTAAAAAAAGTTGGACAGTAGGCTGTCAAGAGCTTGGTTGTATGGTAGCTCCACAGTCATTAGGGTTCCAGGCTCCTTTAATCTTGCTTGTCCTCTATTGTTAGTATGCCAGCTTATGGTTGAGGAAGTGGGTAGGCTTGGATGTGTTTGTTGGAGGGGGAATGGACCCAGCTCCTCTGATAGAAGGTAAATTTCCAGAAGGAAGAAGCTCTAATCCCATTTGTATCTCAGTGGACACCCATAGTAGTGAGAGAAGATTGGAAGTATAGTCCTTGTACTATGCACTCTGCATTTATGGTTCAGGTATTACAGGAGGAGAGTGGAGAATTGAGTAGCTAGTAGCAGTTTGTACAGTTTGTGCTGTTATGTACTTGGGCATTTCACCTTTTGAAGGCTCCTAATGTCATCTTTAAGCTCAAAATTGCTTTATATAATCCTTCATACAAGTGATAAAAATGCTGGTTTTATATACTGATCTAGTAAAGTTATACTGAAGTACTTTGGAAATTGTCAACTTCTATATTTTTAAAAAAATTTTAATTGTAGCAAAATACACATAACATAAAATCTCCTATCTTCACTGATTTGAAGTGTACAGATCAGTGGCATTAAGTACATTTTCCCTGTTGTGCAGCCATCACCACCATCCATCTCCAGAATTCTTTGCATCTTGCAGAACTGAAACTCTGTATCTGTTAAATAATAACTCTCCATCCTCCTTTCCCTCCAGCTCCTGGAAACTATCTTTCCACCTCCTATCTCTGAATTTGACTATAGCTACATCATCTGAGTGGAATCATACAATATTTGTCTTTTTGTGACTGGCTTATTTCACTTAGCATAGTGTCCTCAAGGTTCAGCCATGTTGTAGCATGTATCAGAATTGACCTCTTTTTTAAGGCTGAATAATATTCCAATATTCCAGTATTTCTATTATTTTTAAAGAAATTCTACTAAACTACTCCGTAGAGAAGCACCTGTTTGTTTTATTACTTTTTATTTATAAACTACATATATTCAAGTAGTTTCTCAATTCCATGTAATTCAATCCCCTTATTTTTTTGCAATGGAACATTTTTCAAGTGCTTTTGGTTAATTATAAATAAAATATTCAAAAATGTAAATTACAGATCTATAGCATATGTTAACAACAAATAACACTTTTTGAGTGCTTACTGCATACTGGCATAATGCTAAGTGTTTTAGGTGAATCATTCATTTAATCCTACAACAACTCCATGAGGAAGGCATAATTATTACCTCTATTTCATACTTTAGAAAACCAGGGAATAACAAGGGTGAGAAACTTGCCTAAAGTTATATGTCTAGTTAAGTGGCACAGCTAGACTCTTGAGTATTCTTAATCTAGAGCCCATGTTCTTAATTACTGTATTGAATATCAGTGATTTAGTTTTTATTATTTTATGTTTGGCCAACTCTTGGGAAGGATAATAATTTGGGGGCTTGGCAGAATATGTGTGATATGTATCCTACCTAATAAAAAGTTTTAGGAGAATGGTGGAAATGTCATCTTTTTTCTAATCTTTTTATTTTAGTTTTTTAAGTAATTCCTGCACCCAAATGTGGGGCTCAAACTCACAACCCCAAGATCAAGAGTCACATGCTCCAGCCACTGAGCCAGCCAGGTGCACCCTGAAATGCCATTCTCTTAGTGATTTGGGCGGAAAAAAAACCTGTCTGGGATATGCTCAGCATTAAATGTCATGCTAAACGAAATAAGTCAGTCAGAGAAAGACAATTATATGATCTCACTGATATGTAGAATTTAAGAAACAAAACAGGATCATCATAGGGGAAGAGAGGAGAAAATAAAATGATGAAATCAGAGAGGGAGACAAACCATAAGAGGTTCTTAAGCATGGGAAACAAATAGGGTTGCTGGAGGGGAAAGGGTTAGGAAGATGGGATAACTGGGGGATGGACATTAAGGAGGGCATGTGATGTAATTAGCACTGAGTATTATATAAGACTGATGAATCACTGACCTCTACCTCTGAAACCAATAATACATTATATGTTAATTGAATTTAAATAAAAATAAATTAAAAAAAGTCACAGTAAATCAAATTGAAATCTGATTTTTAAGCCATGTATTTTATCCTGTTTTATTTCAATATATAGTACTAAGGATTGAATCATCTTCTCTCCCCCTCCCCCCCACCGTATACTTGACTTTACTCAAATAAGGAAATTGATAACTAATAAAACTTAAATTTATATATTTTTAGTTGAGATCTTAGGACCTCATGAGATCATAGTCATTGGTTTAGAATTAAACATGTGTTATTCAGTTCTCAGACTAAAGGTTGCATTCCTGACCTCAACTAATTTCAGAGTTTAAACTTTGACTCTAAAGAATGTGCAGATTCTTTTTCACTAGAAAAATAAAACAGGTACAGTTTTTACGATGGGTTGTTGAATCACCACTTAAATTGAGGAGTGAATTAAATGTAACAAAGTAAGCATTAAATATTTTCAGTTAATACTAAAGACTACTTAGTATATCTGAGTTGAATATCATTTAAAAATAATAGTCTTTTAGAAAATGGGTTTAATAGAACCTTTTAAAATTTTTATTCACTGTTATATTTTTTATTATTTTATGTAGCACATGCCAAAATTTAATTCAATTTCAATTAGTGGATACCATATGCAGGAAGCAGGGGCTGATGCCATTCTGGAACTGGCCTATACTATAGCAGATGGGTTGGAATACTGTAGAACTGGACTCCAAGCTGGTCTGACAATTGATGAATTTGCACCAAGGTGAGTAAATTGACCTCAGACATTGTCTCAATACTAGGAAAATTTTCAGGACCAATTTATCAGTGTACAGTAGATCTACTGATAAAATAAATCTGTATATATAAATGTCATACCTAGATCCTCTTATGTTTTATTGGAGTAATAATGAGAAAGTAAGCCAATACTGTGTATAATTAAAAATCAGAATTAAATTTGACTACTTTTTGGTAAGTTAGAAGAATCTTGTTTCCAGCTATTCAGAAAATACAATTACCTGACATATTTTGACAATTAAAATGTCAACATCATATTTCAGGCATATTAGCTTTTATTCTTTTAATTTTCCATTTTAAAAAGTCATTTATTTCATTTTTTTTCTGTTGCATTTACATAATATAAATGTTTTGGAATGCACAGTGCTATTTAAAACATTTCTGTTTCAAAATAGCTTGTTAATAAAGTTGTATGAAAAATACAGAAGAGCTTGGGGTGCCTGGGTGGCGCAGTTGGTTGAGCATTTAACTCTTGGTTTTGGCTCAGGTCATGATCTCGGGGTCCTGAGATCGAACCCTGTGTCAGGCTCTGTGCTTAGTGTGGAGTCAGCTTGAGATTCTCTCCCTTTCCCCCTCTGCCTCTCGCTCATGCTCTCTTTCTCTCTCAAATAAATAAATAAATCTTAAAAAATGTGGAAAAGCTTTGAAGTTTATGAAGTGCTTAAATTTGGTAATCAAGAATTAGTCAGTTAAACAATTAATTGCTAAGTTTTGCTCTGGGCTGAGTACCAGCTTATGTGCTGGGAAAAAAAAAAAAAACAAACTTGTGAAAAACATGACTTCTGTCCTCAGATTGTTTATAGACTGGTGAATGCTTCTTTATACCTTTATACATATTATGACAGCATTTCTCAAAGTGTGGTCCAAGGACTCTTCAGGGTCACTACCCTTCCTGGGGTCTTTCAGGTTAAATTGTTTTCATGATTGTATTAAGACTTTATCTGCCTTTTTCACCTCCATTCTTTCAAAAGGGTACAGTGTTGTTTTCCAGAAGCTACATGATATGTGATGTTGCAACAGATTGAATGTAGAAGCAGATATTGATTCCAGCTGTCTTCCCTGAAGCCACACATTAGATTTGCAACAATGTAAAACAGCGACTGTTTTATTACAGTTTTTTATTTTAGCAAAGTATAATTATTTTTCATAAAAGTGTTACTTATGTTAACATGTTGTATGTTTGTTGTTGTTTCTAAATGAATTAATATGTAAAATATTGATAGATATTATCCAAATAAAGATTTATTGGGGTTTTTAGTAATTTTAAAGAATGAAAAGGTATCCTGAGACAGTATTTGAGAACAGCAGTGTTAAGAACTTCCCAGGGTATATCAAGAATTTTTATTAGTTTTTAGTTTCTTTACTTAAGGCTCACCTTGTCTTATATAAAGAAACACAGTCTTTGTGCCTTTAGGCACAGGCAAGTAAACTAAATGTGTAACTCACCTGCAGAATATAAAATAAAAAGGAGTAGTGGATTTGGGGGCAATTGGAGAGATAAATGCCTAGACCAAATATATAATTATTCTTTAAAAAACAAAACAAAACAAAAAACAGGAAAACTTTCTTGCTATCCAAAGAAAACAAGTTGGTGGTTTTAGTCCTTTCACAGGTGACCCCTGACTTACATACCAGGTATTCTTGAAGTATTTTATTTTTGGATAGTGATTCATTCTTTATTTGAGGGCACAAGAGGAACGTCTTTTCTAAGAACCAAAAAACCAATTTTAAAATGAGTAATTCCTACCTGAAGCAAATAATCACAGCTCTTTCTTCTCTTTGCCTAAAACTGTACTTTTATCTGTTAGGTTTAAAGTTACTTAAGTATATATGCTTTGATTTTAATTCAAATTATTGTTTGAAATTAAAATCTGGACACTATTTTCTTTAGTGTGTGATATAATTAGTTTTATTGTCCATTTTATATTGTTATGCTTCATCAAATAATGGACTTAACATTACTATTTTAGGTTGTCTTTCTTCTGGGGAATTGGGATGAACTTTTATATGGAAATAGCAAAAATGAGAGCTGGGAGAAGACTCTGGGCTCACTTAATAGAGAAAATGTTTCAGCCTAAAAACTCTAAATCTCTTCTTCTGAGAGCGCATTGTCAGACATCAGGATGGTCACTTACTGAGCAGGTATATATATATATATGTATATATATAATTTAAAGTATAGAGGTTTAGTAAAGTCATATATTGTCTTACAAGCAACATAGCGCAGTCAGGAAGTAGATTTAAGAACCCATCTGTTAATATTTGAAAATTATAATTATTCTGATGCATAATGCATATTTATGTTTTTTAACACAGATTATAATAAATAAAACTGGCTCCCTCTAGTGGTTAACAATATAAAATCATATAAATCAGCTTACCTGTAATGCTGTTTTACCTTTTTAAAAGTAAAAAAAACTGTGATGATGAGGAAGAAGTAAAAACCATAATTTAGTTAATATTATCTTAAATAATTTTGAGTTAAAATTCTTAATGTAAAATTGCCTGATTAAAATTTTGTGCATATATATTATTTATTTTAGTTATGTGGTTATGCATGCAAACAGATGCATTTAAAGACTATTATCATTTGAGTAATTTAATTTCATTCTATTAGAAAATTGTGTGGTAATCTTTTTCCATGCATTTTATTTACATACTAAATTATTTTGATACATTAAAAATAATTTATAACTTTAAAGTTACGTTGCTTTTATACACTTAAAAGTGAATAAAAACTAATATAGCCATATTAAATGTGACTTCAGGTACTTATAAATGGAGAAGTACAGTTTCAGGGTTGGAAGAAACTTTAATAATCATTTTTGTTTTAACCTCTTTTTACAGCTAATGAAGCTAAAGTTCAGAAAGGTCCAATGATTTACCCAAATCACAATCAGGAACAGAATGAATTGCAGATTTTTTATCTCATAGTACATTGTTCATCTGTTTCTTTGATCATTTATTAATAAATCATTTGTTGAGTGCCTGTTAAATCTGGCTTGTTTACTAATTTGTCTAAATTTACTGGACATTCTGAAGCCTAATGTAGACATTGGCAAAATAAGTATGCAGAAGTCACCGCTTAATCATAGCATCTTTTATCAGCTGTTGCCTTGTTTTGACTTTTTCCTTTTCACTAAATGTTTTAGGATCCTTACAATAACATTATTCGTACTACAGTAGAAGCAATGGCAGCAGTGTTTGGAGGGACTCAATCTTTGCACACAAATTCTTTTGATGAAGCCTTGGGTTTGCCAACTGTGAAAAGTGCTCGAATTGCGAGGAATACACAGATCATTATTCAAGAAGAATCTGGGATTCCTAAAGTGGCTGATCCTTGGGGAGGTTCCTATATGATGGAATCTCTCACAAACGATGTTTATGATGCTGCCTTGAAGGTCAGTTTCTCTTCTTTGAAACTTTGGTTTTAAGATTTACAGATTTATAAAGATTTATAGATATTTTGATTTATAAATCAAATCATTTATAGATTTATATCAAGATTTATAAAATGAGAGAAAAAGAATTTTAGATTCAACTTTAAGAGTATACAAATGGAAACATAATTTAAAAATATATTTGTATTTGTAATAAATATTTTGTTCAAAGAGTTAAAGACTATGAGTGTTAAAACACTATAACATAAAAAAACAGTTCTCTGTCTTCTCCTTGAATCAATCCATCTTTTTTGTTTGTTTTTATCTCCATATTTTAGAATTACACATATATACAAGGTCTAATTCCATCAATTTTAGGCATTATCTATTGCTTTGTAGTAGGTAGTTTAGTATTTTAGCTGATTCTTACCTCTGCTTTTTCTTATCTCAATACTACCAATACAATTATATCTGAATAGTATATATACCCTTCTGAAGTCCTCCAGTGCTCTCATTTGATATCGAGTGGTTTCTCTTTAGACATGCTGACCATTGCGGCCCTTTGACTGCCCTTTGCCATTATCCTGGGAATTCTTTTTACCTCTGCTATGTTGAATCTGTATCCTGAATCCTGTGTCTACCTCTGTTGATTTATCCCTTGTTATTTTGAAGCACACCTCATAGGAACCTCCTCTAAAAGTGGTACATGGGAGATGACTTATATGAAACTTTGGATGTTTGAAAATGTCTTCGTTCTACTCTGGTATTTGATGGATAGTCTGACTGTGTTTGAAATTATTTTCATTTGGGAGTGTGTAAGCGTTGATCTACTTTTTATCCTAACTTTTTATTCTAGCTTCCACTATTTCTGTTTAGAAATCTGATGCTATTTTCACTCTCAGGAACTTTCTAACAGTTTTAGGATCTCTTTATTTTTGAGTTGCTGGACTTTGGTGTGTGTATTTTTTCCTGCATTGTACTGGACCTTCGGTGGGCATTTTTTATCTCCCCCATTTTTCATGTTCTCATAGCCCTGGAAAATTGTCTTGTATTACTTTTTTGATAATTTCCTTCCTGCCATTTTTTGTGGTTCCTCTTTCTAGAACTCCTAGTTATTGGATAAGGACCTCCTTAAAAGATACTCTGATTTTCTTATCTGTTCTATAACTCATCCATGAGATTCTGTTTTGTTTTCTTGGAGAGTCATCAACTTTAAATTTCTACTTACTTTAAAATTCGTATATCATATTTTTAATTTCCAAAAGCTGAGTTTTGTTTTCTGATTTTCTCCCTTGTATATTATACTGCTTGTTTCATTAATACAGAATCTGTTTTTTTCCTGAGGATATTAATTATATTTTTTGAAGTTTTCTTCTGCATCCTGTATTGTGTTTTCTCTGTGTGCCTTTTGTCTTTAGTGTTATTCAGAATGCAGGGTTTTTTTTTTAATTTTTTTATTGTTATGTTAATCACCATATATTACATGATTAGTTTTTGATGTAGTGTTCCATGATTCATTGTTTGTGCATAACACCCAGTGCTCCACGCAGAATGTGCCCTCTTTAATACCCATCACCAGGCTAACCCATCCCCCACCCCCCTCCCCTCCAGAACCCTCAGTTTGTTTTTCAGAGTCCATCGTCTCTCATGGTTCGTCTCCCCGTCCGACTTACTCTCGTTCATTCTTCCCCTCCTGCTATCTTCTTCTTTTTTTTTTCTTAACATATGTTGCATTATTTGTTTCAGAAGTACAGATCTGTGATTCAACAGTCTTGCACAATTCACAGCGCTCACCATAGCACATACCCTACCCAATGTCTATCACCCAGCCACCCCATCCCTCCCACCCCCCACCACTCCAGCAACACTCACTTTGTTTTCTGGGATTAAGAATTCCTCATATCACTGAGGTCATATGATACATGTCTTTCTCTGATTGACTTATTTCACTCAGCATAACACCCTCCAGTTCCATCCACGTCGTTGCAAATGGCAAGATCTCATTCCTTTTGATGGCTGCATAATCAGAATGCAGGTTTTTATTTCAACAAGACATCTTGCCCTTGCCTCTCTCTGTACTTGATGTTTGATAGCCCATTGCTTTTCTGCAAAAGTAAACTTTGGTCCATTTTCTGCAGGCAGTAAACTTTGGTTCTCTTGACCGAATGGGAGAGGGGTAGCTGCAAATTCTAAAGTAGTCCCCCATCTTTTTAGCTTCCTATCTTACCTTTGGCTTCTTTTGAATCCAACATGAATTCTTATTTCTTGAGTTCTTCAGAAAAAAAAGTTTAACTTTGTTCCTTTCTGCTAAGTCATATACCCTTCCACCATTCATTTTCCCACCATCTCATGAATATATGAGGCTGTGATTAAAGGTTTAGATGTTTCCTAGTATCAATAAAGTTGGAGTTATATCATTACTCTGCTGCTCAAATCAAAAATAAAATTGCATTTTGAAATGTATTTTAAAGAATATTTATTTATGTGACCATGAATACTTAATGTAACTAAAAATAAAGATGAGAGAATTGATGTTATTTTTAGTTCTCTTCCAAGACTTGAGTGAGAGGTTCAGTGTTTTCCAGAATCTACATCTTAGTTTTTCTGTTTTCAAGTAACTTTAAGTACATAATTTCTTTTTTAAATTGAGATATAATTGACATATATTGTTGTTTTGATATATGTATGAATTGTGAAGTGATTAACAGAGTAAGTTTAGTTAATATCTATACCTCACTGTTATAAAATTGTTTTCCTTGTGATAAGAACTTTTAAGATCTGTCTTAGCAACTTTCAAATACACAATAGTGTATTGTTAACTCTGTAGAATTTCTTTTTCTTTCTTTCTTTTTTTTTTTAGTTTTATTTATTCATTTAAGTAATCTCTGTACCCAACGTAGGGCTCAAACTCACCAACCCAAAATCAAGAGTTGCATGCTTCCCTTGACTGAGCCAGCCAGGCACCCCTAACTCTGTAGAATTTCTAATTAATGCTCTTGAAGTCATCTTAATTCTTTTCTTATGAAACATTAAACTTACAACTAAAATAGTTATGACTTTATTAATATTAGTAATTATGTGATGTAACTAATTTATACAAATTTATAAACTATACAGTTTATAAAAAATCTTTATATTCTTTTCCAGTTTTATTAATCTCTTTTTCTTATTAGCTCATTGATGAAATTGAAGAGATGGGTGGAATGGCCAAAGCTGTAGCGGAAGGAATACCTAAACTTCGAATTGAAGAATGTGCTGCCCGAAGGCAAGCAAGAATAGATTCTGGTAAGAGAAATTGAAAACGTTTATGTGTGAAATCCAATATTTAAAAAGAAATACTAATTTCTGTTTGAAGATAACATATATAGTTAATAAAACAAAAATAATGGAAAAATGAAACTTGGATAAAATGTTTCTCATTTCTATCTATCTACTTATCTATCTCTCTCTCCATCTATCTCTCTGTCTCTCTATCCATCTCCCTGTTTGCATTTTTGCATTCATGGATGCACACAGGTAAGCATATGTAGAGTATGTGTGGAGGTATGCCCATTGTGTATATATACATGTATAGGTGGGTATCTCCAGCATTTTAAAGATGATATTATTATTGGTCATTGTGCTTTGATTGGAGTATTTATTCATTCAGTCAGTCAACACTTTTTTAGTATTTAGCATTTGAGGCACTGTACTATGTCTGGATATACAACTGTGAATAGATCAGGTAAGCTCTCTGCACCCTTAGAGCTTACATTTTTAGTAAGAGAGAGAGAAAATGAACAAGTAAACAAATAAATAAGCAAGATAATTATAGATTGTGATGAGTTCTATAAAGGAAATAAGGGGAAGGGGTGGGTGGCAGGATGTCTTTAGATACAGTAATAATCTTAGTAGTTTGAGGCTAAATATGTTCTTACTATGTTAAGGAAATGTCTTTATAATTCTGGTTTATTACTTAACAAATTTTAAAAGTACTTTTTGTTAAAAGTGAGAATTCAAAAATACATTGGAAATGCTTTTGGATGTGAATCCTCTTCCTTATAAATCTTGATGTAGCTGCTATTATTATTTTAATTTTGTGGTGTTAGAAGAGGGTTTATCAGAAACTCTAGGGAAGCATATAGTTTGGGAGAATAATAAAAGTCCTCCCTTACAGAGATTCTGATACATACTGGTTCTTTCTCCTCTCATCCCCATTTTATTGGGATTTGCTTTGCTGATCTATATTGAAGTTTCATTAAGATTTAAGAACACTACTTGAAAATTTTAAGCTTATAAGGAAAGTATGTGATGATGAGAGCATTACTATTAGGCAATTATTTGTGAATAGAATCTACATATTATTTTCCTCTGGAAAATTAATAGGTTCTGAAATAATTGTTGGAGTAAATAAGTACCAATTGGATAAAGAAGAATCTGTAGAAGTTCTGGCAATTGATAATACTTCAGTGCGTAACAAACAGATTGAAAAACTCAAGAAGGTAATAATAGCTATCATTTTTTGAGTGCTTTCTGTGTTCTGGTCACTGTAAGCCCTTACATTGTCTTGCTTAATCCTTGTAACAACCACATGAGGTGGGTATTATTTCCCAACATTTTAAAGTTAAGGAAACTAAAGATAAGGGAGATTAAGAAACTTGCCCGGAATAAATAATTGAATAGTTGAGACTCAAATCTAAGTCTGTTGACACCAAACATTCATGTTTTAAATCATTACAACTGCCTCTATGAAACTTACATATTGTTATTAAAAACCACTATAATAATAATAATACCTCCCATAATTTACAGATTAAAACAAAGGCTTAAATGATTATATAACTCACTCAAAATTAAAAACAAAATTAAATTCAGAGTATCTGAACCCAGGGCTTCTCACTATAATTTGTTTCCACTAGACCATGGCTTCTGATACTACTATGAAAGAATCATTTGCTTTCGTTTTTTTTTTTTTAAGTCAAATATATCTTAATGGTGCTTTAGTAAGACAGTTTATAAGTGAAAGATAATTATTTTGATTGAAACTAGAGTACTATCCTAACTTTATTTCCAATTTCTTGCCAAGATGAATCAATGTTTATGAGATACCAAGATAGATAAAACATATTCTTATAGTTGTAACTTACATATTTCCATTGTACGATGCTACCGCGGTCTCTTAATCTCTGGCTTTTATAATTACTGTTATTTTTAAGGCAAGAAACTTGACATTCTTCAGCGATCTTTAATGTTTTTCCTCGGTTTACTTTCCCTGTGATAATTTAAGATCTTTTTTCCCCCCTCAGTTGAGATGTTCTTACGGCTCTAATAGCGCTTGTTCAGTTAGACTGAATGCACAACTATCCTCTTCCGTTTTTTTAATGGCAGACGTTTAATGACATTATTTCTATTTTCACCCTCAATCAGTAGATAACAACTCTCACATTTTTGTCATTTTTAAAAAGGTCCTACTTAGGATGTAGCATTTTATTTTCAGTCATCACAAAAGTCTCAACATTTATTATATTTGGAAAACTTTTCTTCTCTCTTATATTTTAGGCTTTTATTAACTCTGCATTCTCACAGCTGGAGGGGTTCCATTTGCCATAAATGATGTTAAACTTTATTTCAGGCAAGAGAGAAATTCACTAGTGATGATGGAATTGGGTTTTTCCTTGCCCTTAGTATAGGATTTCTGGTCCACTTCTGCTTATAGATATTAAATGATATTAGTAGCATCTTGAGCAGTATCATATTTTAGACTCTTTTATAGGTGGTGTAAACTTGTAAAAAATTGGATTTTAGATAACTTTGTTTAGGCAGGTTGTTGGCAGAGCAGAGTAGAGCTAGGACCTGAGGGGAAAAGTTTTTGACCATGTTTTTCATTGTCTTTTTGTCTCTGTTGAAATATTTCTCATTGTCTCTTGTCTCTTTTTCTCTCTTTTTGGATTATTTTTATTTTTATTTTTTAAGCCCAACACGGGGCTTAAACTCACAACCCAGAGATTAAGACCTGAGCTGAGATCAAGAGTCCGACGCTTAACTGACTGAGCCACCCAGGCGCCCCTCATTGGATTATTTTTAACTAAAGAAAAATCATACACATAGATATTATTACCAATATAGTGTTAATTAGCTAAGGAAAACAACATATAACTGAACTATTCTTGAAGTTGTAATCTATTACTATTTTTTCATCCTTGTCACTATTATTCTTTAGTGTGCCTTTGAAATTACTCATGTAAAACATCTACCTGTTTTCGATGTCTTGTTACATTAGTAAAGCCTAAGTATCAGGTATTACTTGGGAGAGTCACCACTATTATTTATTGTTAATAAATAAATGTTATTTATAACATTTTATTACAGTTAATAAATGCTTTTTTCTGATTTATCAGGATTGTGCAGAATTCAGTATTATTTTAGGAAGTCCTTAAATGTTTGTTGAATGAGTGAATGAATAAATTGAATGAGTATCAGACCTAGGATACATATTATTCTCTCCTTTCTTTTCCTTTTGCTTTTGAGTTTAGGATTATGGAACAATTTCTATGTGATGTATATCAGTATCTGATTTCCTAATCTCTGTTTTTTTCTCTATTCATGTAAATTGTCCCTTTTCTTGACCTTTTTCATAAGGTCAAATGCAGCAGGGATCAAGATTTGGCTGAACGGTGTCTAGCTGCACTTACTGAATGTGCTGCCAGTGGAGATGGGAACATTCTGGCTCTTGCAGTGGATGCAGCTCGTGCAAGGTGAGGGTATTTAAGTTTCGAGATTTCCAAATACCAGAAGTTGACCAGTTTAGCTTTTCAACGTGTACTTAAATAAAAGGTTGATCATATAAACCATGTGAGCTGAAACAAAAATATTGGAAACTCAAATGAAGTTAGTTTTTATTTTTCTTAAATATCTGTGCACTTAGAGCATTCATGGTTTTTTTAAACATATAAACATTAAGAGGTTTTAATCTTCTTAAATAAAATTTAAAAATGAAACTTTAACATTTAAAATATGCCAAACATGAAGTCCTCAGGTTTTGAGAAAGTCCATCTTACGAGGGAAAATACCTTCAGGTCATTAGTAACTAGCTAATGTAGCTCTAAACATTTCTACAAATAGATGAACAAAACAGGGCAAAAGTGATTGCTTTTGTCAAATTCAGTTACTGGCAAAATAAGGTAGTGAGAACTGTTCAGGTACATGTACTCATTTTCCATCTCCAGAGAAAAGCCAGAGGTTGGTCATTCTAGCAGCTAGATGGTAATGAATTATAAATGAACTCACGTATGTTCTTCACCAAGGGCATCATGAAACCTTTCTGAGCAGGAAACATGCTTAAGCTTTTCCCTTTCCTTCACTGGATGAAAGGTAGCATGCTGAGCACCCCAGGAACCCATGTGCCACAGTGCAGTGCAGTGCAGGACACAGTGCAGCTGGTGGCCAGCTAGCCAAACGCTGGCATTCCCGAAGACATTTTATTCATGTACAGTACTTGGATATCACCAGGGTTTGAGCAGATAGCGCTTTATTCATGATACTCTAGGGTCCACTGTTCTGTAAGCATGTGGAGCTATTCTGTAAGCATGTGGAGCTATTAAAGGTGTATTAAAAAATCAACAAACTGATCCTGTAAACCACAGAAAATTTTCTCCCAATACATGATGTCACTAAATGAATTATTTTTGCTTTTGTTATTTATTGCTTAATATAATTAACTTTTTTTTAAACATGTTGTTTTAAGTGCTTAAGGGGTAGAGTAAACAGTATGTGGGTTGGGTTTTTGTTTTTTGGGTTTTTTTTTCCAGTTTTAATTTCTTAAAAGAAATAAGAAAACTTCTCTGCTTACAGTCCTTGAATGGTCTCTCATACTTTCTAAATTAAAACCTAATCTTACCATGGCCTGCAAGATCGTGTGAGATATGACTCTGCTTCCTTCAAATGCTGTGTCCCCAGTGTCCTTCCTAGTTGTAGAACAAAGAGCATGTTTTTCTACCTCTCAAACTTTTGCATTTAGTACTTTCTTTTTCAAACAGTTTTCCCCTTTAAATTCCCTTGAGTTTCTCCTTCTCATCATTTAGGTCTTAGTTCAAAAGTTATATCTTCATATCTTCAATATCTTTGAGCTTTCCCAGAGACCCCATTTCACCTGTTTCACTGTGTTCGTAGTGCTTATTATCATATGAAATTCTTATTCATTTGTGTGCATGTGTATTGTCTGTATCCCCTGACTAAATGATAAGCTCTGTAAGAGCAGGTACTTTCCCCCGCCGTCTTATCATCATATGTCTAGCACTTACCATGCTTGGCCCATATTAGGCACTCAAAAATTGTTGAATGAATTAGTGAACAAACGGATGGAATATGCTAAAAGACTTACTTTCTATCAAAATGTATCAGCAGGAGGGGCCCCTGAGTGGGTCGGGCAGTTAAGCGTCTAACTCTTGATTCCAGTTTAGGTCATGATCTCAGGGCTGTGAGATCAGGCCCTGCTTTGGGCTCCACGCTGGATGTGGAGCCTGCTTAAGATTCTCTCTCTCTCTCTCAAAAAAAAAAAAAGTATCAGTGGAAATCTTGCTCTCTTTGCCTATTTGTATTGTTAAGTGGTGAATTATTCAGTAACCTTCACATGCTTATCTACTTATAGTTTTTAAGTCATTCAGTTATTTTTTAATTAACAAATGTTAAAAAGTTTACTATGTATAAAGGCATCCAGAATCATTTTTCATAAGTATTCTGAGGAAAGATGCTTTCATCAGTGCAGTAAAAAAATTCTTATTTAAGCGAAATAAGTCAGTCAGAGAAAGACAAATACCATAAGATTTTTTTTTTTAAAGATTTTATTTATTTATTTGACAGAGAGAGACACAGCGAGAGAGGGAACACAAGTGAGGGAGAGGGAGAAGCAGGCTTCCCGCCGAGCAGGGAGCCTGATGTGGGGTCAATCCCAGGACCCTGGGATCATGACCTGAGCCGAAGGCAGACACTTAATGACTGAGCCACCCAGGCGCCCCCAATACCATAAGATTTTTGATAGCATAGTTTTTACTTAGGTAATAAAGTATGTCTAATTATATTGAATATTAAAGTCAGTAAATATTTTTATCTCAAATGATGATGTTAATAGAACCTCTGTTTTATTATTTTAATATTTTAGATGTACAGTTGGGGAAATCACAGATGCTATGAAAAAGGTGTTTGGTGAGCATAAAGCTAATGATCGTATGGTGAGTGGAGCCTATCGCCAGGAATTTGGAGAAAGTAAAGAGATATCATATGCTATCAAGAGGTAATATGTGAGATTTCTTTCACCAGAATGTCTTTTCTGTTAACATAATCCCCGTGAATCAACTGCGGGCTTAATTTTCTCACATACCATTTGGAAAATATTTGAATTGACTTTCCTGTTAGTCTGTAGTTTTACTAATATAATACTTTGAATTTTCACTGTAGTTCCCTTAGGAGTTTCTCATTTAAAACAAAGGTTTTTTTAACTAACATTGGTATTGCTTCATATCCCCTAGGTAGTTATATTTCAGTCCCCTTACTACAGTATACTTTCATATTTTCCTAAGTTTATTCAAATTGTTTAATTGGTCAAATAATTATAAAATAATTTCCTCTTTGAAAATAAGTATTTGGTTGCCATCTTTGCATAAATTAAAATCAGGCTCTCCGAACTGACAATAAATAGCACTGTCAAACATGATTAGGAAATATAAATTAATATAAATTGATCATACTTCCCAGGTGTAAATGTAGCTTCCTGATGATTTTTTTTCTCAACCTTTGTAATAAATTTCCCTCTTTTTATGTCACTAGTTATATATGAGATAAATATCAAAACATCCAAGTTGAAAGTCATCAAAATGGAACTTTTTTTTCTTTTAACAAAAACAAGTGTACTTTTTAATGTGGGGTGTAAATTTATTGATTTAAGCTGGCAGACATTTTGATTATATGTCATTAGAAGGCACCACATTGCAGTCAGCTTGGAGGAGTTCACATTTGTGATGAGTAGGTGAGATACAGACAGTTCAAAGCAACTAGTGAGTCACATTTGTATAAATAACTCTGAAAGGCACCTTTTAATTTATATTTAAATATTTGTGCATATTATACTCTGGAGACTGGCTTATGAAAGTGAAAAGTTGTCATTTCCTCATCTTGCTTCACTATGGTATTCTCAAGTGTTATGGGCTTATTGGCTGTGCCATCTTTCAGATTTTCCTCTAAGGGGAAGATGGTAAGCATATCCAGGCTTTAATGGAATTCTCAGTTTAAATTAGAGATATTCACAAAGTATGAGTAAACAGATGTAAAAGGGTGTTTTTAAATAAACTTGAAAGATTTGCTGTGAATAAATTACAGTTTTTATGTCTTACCTTTGGACAATTAATATAGAAATTGTATTTTATTATTACTTTTTAACAACTGCTATGTTTTGAAATGTTCTTAGGGTTAATAAATTCATGGAACGTGAAGGTCGCAGACCTCGTCTTCTTGTGGCAAAAATGGGACAAGATGGACATGACAGAGGAGCAAAAGTTATTGCTACAGGATTTGCTGACCTTGGTTTTGATGTGGATATAGGTCCTCTTTTTCAGGTACTGAAAATTTTGGGGGGAATTTCCAAAAGAATGTCACAAATCACTTATATTTTGAACAAATAATGATAAGATGATAAACCATGATGATGTTTTTCAAGTTGTAAAAGAAGAAAATGAGTTCAACAAATTCCCCAATTATTTTTGAATGCATATAAATCCAGTTAATTATGACAGAAATAGGAAAGTAATGTAATTTATGTTAATGTACTTGTTTCTCAGGTTTTGTAAAAATCGGTAACTAAAATTGTTATTAGGCGTCTGAAACTGAAGGTTACTTTCAATGATCTTTTTTACATCATTTACTGAGATTTGACTAATAATTTGTTGGAAAGATAACCCACGTTGGATTGGTGGAAAGTGTTTTGAAGGGGAAATCAGGCATCAGAGTGAGAGAATATCATAATTAGATATTCTCTTCTGTTATTCTCTAGTAGTATTTTATTTAATCACAGAATATTTGATCCAGCCTGCTAATAACTTGTTGGAAGTAAATGAAGGTGAAATTCTCTATAGAGTGATACAATAATCATTCTCTACAAAATATATTTGGTTGAGTACATTGTAATAACTTTCATATTACAAGCTTTATCCACTATATACTTATTGATCATCTACCAAATGCTAGGTTCTGAGTTGAATAAGGTATGATTTTGTCTTCAGGGAGGTTATAGACTCCTAAACAGAAAGAGATTTACTTACCAGTAATCACATCAGAGTAATAGTTAATGTAATTAAAGTTTGAACAAGGAACTTGTCCAAGTATTCTAGGAACTTATGGTTGAACTGTGCCTTTTGGAAGCCTAGAGAGCAAGGCAGGGAAAGGCGTGCTAAGAAGAGTTGGCTTGAGCAGAGGTGCAGAGGTACAGGGTCATGAAGGCATGATGCCTTCCGGTGACTAAGAAGTTCAGTATTATTAGAATACAGAGCTTGGGATGGTATGTAGATTGCGATGAATAGCCTTATATGTGCCATTCTAAGAAGTATGAACATTATCCCAAAGGTGTTTAGGCAGAGTGACAATCAAATATATACTTTAGAAAGCTCACTTTCCAGGAAAATCACTTTCTGAAGTGGATTGAGAGGAGCTGTGACTAGATGCAAGGAATCCAGTTAAGATGTTCAGTAATCTGAGTGAGAAACAAGGCAGGCCTTACCCAAGGCAGTGTCAGGGTCTTAGCAGAAGTCGGCTAAGATTGTGAAGAAAATTTAAAGAAGGGACTATTTACGATAAGGAGGCAGGCTTAAGAGATCCAGCTTATGGAACATTCAGATGAAGATGACCGTGTAAGTTGGATATGCATGTCTGGGGCATAGAAGAGAGGCCTCCATTACTTAAAACTGTGAAAACTGATTTAACTTCCCATTACGAATGTGTATCGCAAGATGAGAACTTGAACATTAAAAGGAAAAAGAGAAGGAGGCAGCAAAGGAGGGAATGGGGTGAGGAGTGAGATAAAAACTGAGGAAGAAGGAGAGTTTCAGGGAAAAGGAAGTACTGTTATTCCACACTGTGGATGGGTCAACTAAGATGGAGACTTAAGAGTATTTGTTGCATTTTTATCAGCCAGAAGTAAACCTTCCTGAAGAGGCCCATACCCTGTGGAATCTGTAAGACTTTTCCCTTTTTGAATTTTATTTTAATTAATTAATTTTTTGATTATGTTCAGTTAGCCAACATATAGTACATCATTAGTTTTTGATGTAGTGTTCAACAGTGAATTTTTAAATATTACTGTAGAGAGTCTAGAAGAAGTTTTTATTATGAAGAGTTAACCTGAACTTGTGGAGATAACATCTTTGAACTGTGTTGGTAGGTAAATTCATAAATACATTTAAGCTAGGTTTTGTTAAGAACCTCAAATATATTTTAGATTAAATAAAGATATATATTTAGATTGCTTTCATTCTTCCGTTGAGTTGAATACTTTCCCATTCTAGTTTTTTACTTACATTCTACTACCCTTTTACTTTACTTTTTGTTTGTTTTAGAGAGGGGGGGAGAGAGAGAGAGAGGGGAAGGACAGAGGGAGAAGGAGACAAGCAGATTTCCCACTCAGCGGGGAGCCCCATGTGGGCCTTGATCCCCAGGACCCTGATATCACAACCTGAGCTGAAATCAAGAGTCCAGTGCTTAACCAACTGAGCCACCCAGGTGCCCCTTTGTTTGTTTTAAATAATGACCAAATATAATACATTCCTGATATTTAGTAATTAGCTTTTGGGAAATATTTCTTATAAAATAAAAGTAACTAAAAACAATGGTTGTCATCCATTGGCACTTATAAGAATTTTTCAAAGAGCTGCAAGTTCATTTCCCCGTTACATGCCATCTATAAAAATATAATTTGCCATTTAGTACCACCAACTTTGTTAACATAATACTTTGTCATTAAAAAAAAGAAAAGAAACACTTATCTATGGATGAAGTACTTTCCTGCAGTTCTGTGTATGATTTAAGTAAAATTAGATTTGAAGTTTTAAAATGTTCAATATTTGGTAACATAAAATACAGTTTAATGTATATAAGCATAAAGCATGGAACTGAATTGTTTAAATGGAATTTTAATCTAATAAATTTTGGTAACGTGGATGATATGAATGATCAATCATGCATAAGTCAATTAAATTTCTTAATGCATTAATACCAAGAATATGCACATTTTCTTAAAGGTTTTAATTTCATAGGTTATATTTTTCACAGACTGAAGGTTTTACCAATATGCTGTTTGATTTACTTAGAGATCTTCTTGAATGTGGCTTCATTACTGAGAGCGTAGGATCTTTTGTTTTCACACTGAAATTATGAGCCTTAAAATATTGCAAATTAAGGAAATCTTCAGATTTTAATAATTTTTTTTGAGCTTATAATTGTTCAGTGGTTTCTGAGATAACTTTATCCTCCCCAAATTTCTCAATTTACATTATATTTACAATGAGAAACTTGTAGGTATCTTTTATATGAAGTTATTTAAATACATGCAGATTATCAAAGCAGATGTCACAGAGTCATTGCAGAGAGTGAATATGATCCTGGGTAACTCAGTTCATAATTGAATACTTGAAAATATCCTTTATGATTCTGTATAGCATACTGGTTAAATCCAGTTAATAATGAAGAACAGCCTTCTTGACACCATTCCTTCTCTTGTTTATGTATTTGCCAGGATGCTGTAGCCCCTTAACTGGTTTCTAGAGTTCTCATGTTATTTTGATTCATGTGTTGCTGTCAATTCAGTGTCTTCATGGGAGGCCGAGGCCTCAGCTTCCTAGTGTGCCATCTTGCTAATGTCGCTCTTTCCCATTCTGTTTTAAAACCTAAGATTCACTTTTCACATCGAATTTATTTTGTCTTTTACTTCTTCATAGATACTATAACATGTTGTCTTATACTTCTCAACCACTCAGTAAATGTTGATAAGACAACAGATGTATTTTTCAAAAATTGTAATGTGAGGAGATAATATATTTTGCCTATATTCCTTATCCTAAAAGTTTTTTGAGGGAACTATATTTTGGTGTAACTTAAATCTAATTGATAAATTCTAGGGCTAGAAGCAAATGCAGCACTGGTGTTTATCAATTGGATGAGTTGGTATTTATGATTTGAGAATGATGAAATATGAAATTATATTCACTTCAAGATTTTTAATGAGGAAAACCTCGGAATGTCAATTAAGTAGATAACAGTTTTAAAATACTCTTTGGAATAAATGATGATTTGTTTCTTTACTTTCTGATTGCTTAGACTCCCCGTGAAGTGGCCCAGCAGGCCGTGGATGCAGATGTGCACGCTGTGGGTGTGAGCACACTCGCTGCTGGTCATAAAACCCTAGTTCCTGAGCTCATCAAAGAGCTCAACTCCCTGGGACGGCCAGATATTCTTGTCATGTGTGGAGGGGTGATACCACCACAGGTATTGTTCATCTCCTGTATTTTTCTAGTACTATGATGGGAATCCTGAGTAATATTAGTTTATATGTAGTTCCCTTTACTGTATACATTTACTAAAGATAAATTTGCTGTAGATATTGATCTAAATTATTTCCTAGTGATTTTACTAAGTAAATTTTACTAAAAAAGTGGGCAATGTTCTTTCCTATTCAAGCTATATTGTAATTCATTATGTGTAATTTAACAATTTACAAAGCTTCTATGAGGGAATTACCTCTTTGCAAACTAGTAACCTAGATAGAGATCTACTTTCTTCATATTCAGTAAAGAATGATGGAAAAGGAACAGGATAAAAGTGATAAATAGAGAAGAATGGTAAACACAGTGCATATATCAACCCCTAGCCACAGACAGTGAGCATTCCTTGTCGTGGTAAATGAATTGAGTCCTTTGGTTAACCAGTCAGCACTTCCTTCTGTTGTTTGAAAGTGCTACCTTGTTCAGTCCTTCCATGTTTCCATCCATGACTGTTGTCCTAACTCAGAACTGTATCAGTTACATGGTTTTGTAAAACCTCTTTTTCATTAAAGCTGATTTGATTGGGGTATAGTTTTCTTAGATCCAAAAATACCCTAATTCAGAAATAAATGGAATCAGCCTGTCCTGAAAATTCAGTAATTTGAATTTGCCCTGATTGGGGAAGAGGTGGATTCTTGAACAAAAATGTGGATCATCTTAGAAAAGGAGAAATGAATGCTAAGTAACAGTCAGTGATGTCAGTTAATTTATTAATGGGGTGGGGGGATACCTTCCACATATTACCTTACCTGTTAGTTAAAATAATTAGTTAAGATATAGATTTGGTGTACTTCCAATCCCGTTTTTAATTATATCAAGTTTTCTTTTTATATTGAGAATGGAAAAAATAGAAGTGTATATGATATTGCTCTAAGAAAATAATTGATAGATGCTACAATGACCCCTCCACTAGAGCAGGAATCAGTGGAGTGTGATCTTATGTCTGGGCCTATAATTTTTTTCCTCCATACCACTCAGAATATAAAATAGTGACTTATGTACTACTTATGAAATCAGAAAATATATGTATGAAATTGTGAGTTTGATAATGTGGGGCTAGCAGGCAAACTATATATTATTTATTCTTTCTAACAACACAGTACTTAAGGTGATATAGTCAACACAAAACTGCTTTTGTTAATGTACTTGCCTATTTTCACAAATATAGTTTACTATATGGGAATATAAAGGGCGTTTATTTATTGTCTATCTATGGAAACTTTTATCTGTATTGCAGTTTTAGAGTCTATAATATCTAAGCTCTTAGATGTGATGTTAAAATTTAAAGAACCAAAATAATTAGGCTGCACAAAATATTGGAATTGAATATGAGTAGACAAAAAACACAGGTCTGTTACCTAAGTGAGCTGACATCTTCAAGAAATATATTTCGCAGAAGTTGTATTAACCCTCTGGATATTTGAATTACTCAGAACATCTGTAGATGTTTTCCATACTTTTTTCCTTGTGAGTTTAAAGACTAAAGATTATTTTCTGTAATGGCACACATGTGTGTTAATATGAGTATCCTTCATAATATAACTGTAGCAGTCAACATCAATGTGTACACAGCATAATGTATAAACCTCAATCACTGTGTTGTACACCTGAAACCCTGTAGCACTGTGTGTCAACTATATTCGAATAAAAAAAAAGTAACAAAAGAAAACACCCCCCAAAAGTATCACCATTCAGCGGCACCTGGGTGGCTTAGTCCTTAAGCGTCTGCCTTCGGCTCAGGTCATGATCCCAGGGTCTTGGGATCGAGCCCTGCATTGGGCTGCCTGCTCCGCGGGAAGCCTGCTTCTCCCTCTCCCACTCCCCCTGCTTGCGTTCCCTCTCTCGCTGTGTCTCTCTCTGTCAAATAAATAAAATATTTTTAAAAAAAGAAAAAAAGAAAAAGTATCACCATTCACTAACTGCAGACAAAATATCTTAGAGGAAATAAATAGCCTTGTAAACTCAAACCTATAATGTGATACTACATTCAACACAAATAATGACAAGTAGTGATAATTTAGGTGAGAGAAAATTATGTGGTTTTGGGCTTGGAAGTTCTTGATCAGTAGGTCATACTGCTTCTTACCACATATCACACACTGGGGTATTTGGAAAATGGGTGCTAGTGGTTATTATTAGCAATCCCGGGGAAGGATTCTTTTCAGCTCCAAATGCGAATGGTATACCAGTTGAGAAAACTGGGGGCATAGGCAACAAAGAATAAAGGACAGTGTTTGTTGTCCTAGTTTCATTTCCTTGAAATTAGAAATATTGCCTCTTCTATTAATTAAACAAATTCTTTCAACAGGATTATGAATTTCTGTTTGAAGTCGGAGTTTCCAATGTATTTGGTCCTGGGACTCGAATTCCAAAGGCTGCCGTTCAAGTGCTTGATGATATTGAGAAGTGTTTGGAAAAGAAGCAGCAGTCTATGTAACATCCTGTTTTTGTGTTAGCTTTTTTCTAAAATACTCTTTCAATGACAATCAGAGAGTAAAACCATGTCTTCAATTTAATTCAACACTTGATATGTGCTTTCTTGAAAGCTTTACATTAAAATACCTGACTTATAAGAATTTTGTGATGCTCTAATTGTATATGTACCGTCTTTAAAAATTAAAAAAAGTATATACCCTTAAAAACTTTACATGTTTAATACTTCATCAGAAACTCTAGACAAAGGTATTATTTTAAAAAGTCATATTTATTTGAAGTATTTCTTATAAAACTATTTCTATTTTAAAAATTAAACTTTACCTAAAAAAAATTTGACTAGTCCCAATTCTTCAATTTAGCATTATATTGACTTGAGCACCAGAAAACAAAATCCATATATGAACAAAATAATTACGCCTATCTTGGAAAAAATACGAAGAGTATTTATATAGAGAAATATATTATGGTTGTGATCTTCAACCAAATTCTACTGGAATCACTTCAATAAGAATATTTAATCAGACCTAAAGGTTGGAATAAGGAAGAAATGGCAGAATATTTCTTCAAATCTGACTTTACTTTCTTCCTGGGCATGAACATGTGACCTCGTTATTGCTGGGCTTGGCTCAAGACCCAGGATAGTGGGTGTTTATGAATATTCCCTAAAATGAAAGTGCTTAGGTTGTTCATATGGCTTTCTCCAGAATGATGACGTAAGTTAGGAGTGTAGAAGGGCTATGATACCTGGAAAAGCTAGCGGTATAACTCAGTCCAAGTCTGAATACAGGCCTGAGAATCAAGAGAGCCCATAGTGTAAATCACAGCCTAAGGGCCGGAAAAGGTGGTATGACATGCCCTAGATCAATTAGTGAGGCAGGAAATAAAAGGGGTGGATTCCTCTTTCCTCTGCCTTTTGTTCCATTCAAACCCTCTACAGATAGGATGATGCTCACAAACACTGGAGTGGGCAATCTACTTTGCTAAATCTGCTGATTCAAATGCTAATCTCATCCAGAAGCACCTAGAAATAATACACAATCAGGGCACCCTGTAGCCAGTCAAGTTGATTACCTGTTGATTACCTATCATAGGTACCTATGACTTAAAATTATCACAGAGCCCTTGTACATTGCTGGTGGGAATGTACAGGACTGCTGCTGCAGGGGGAAATGATAGGATTCCTCAAAAAAATTGAAGTTACCAAATGGCCAAGTAATTCTCCTAGGTTTATATCCAAAAGAACTGAAAGTGGGGTCTCACATAGATATTTGTGCACCCATGTTCATAGCAGCTTTATTCACAATAGCCAAGAGAGAAGTAACCCAAGGGTCCTTTGATAGATGAATGGATAAATAAAATGTGGTATATACTTAGAATACTATTCAGCCTTAAAAAAGAAGGAAATTCTGACACATGTAACAACATAGGTAAAACTTGAAGACAATATGCTAAGTGAAATCAGCCAGGCGCAAAAGGACAAATACGATTTCATTTATATGTGATTCCTAGAACAGTAAAATTCACAGAGACAGAAAGTAGAATAGTGGTTGCCTGGGCCTGGGGAAAAGGGATGGGACATTAAGGAACTGAGTGGTTATAGCGTTTGAGTTGGGGAAGATGAAAAGTTCCAGAGATGGATGGTGGTGATGGTTGTACAGCAGTATGAATGAACTTAGAGCTGCAGAACTGCACACTTAAAAATGGTAAATAAGGTAAATTTTATGTCAGGTATTTTACCACAATAAAAGTATTTAGGACAGTCTTGACAGGTAGTATTTATTTTATAAATGTTGTTAATATTGTTATTGTATTATTACAATTGTTGAAAAAGAATGGGAAGGCAGAAAACTGGGAAGGTGAACAGGAGCCAGGTTATGTATAGAGGCAAGTTAAGGGATTTGGACTTCATCCTGAAGATAAGGACAGAATCATAAAAGGGTTTTTCACTATGGAAATAATCTGATAAGATTTGTATTTAGCACAACAGCTGTGTGGAACATGCCTTTTAATGGGGCAAGACTGGCGATGAGAGGACTGTTAGAATAATGTATTAGAGAAATTCTCTTATCTAAACTTACCTGTCCTGGTGCTGCTCAGAGATGACAAACATAAGAGAGGATCAGATCTTATTTTGGGAGACTGAATTGACAGAATCTGTCTTGTATCTTTAAAAAAAAAAAAAAAGGCTCTTGATCCTTGGGTATTCACTGTGTGGAATCTGCTATATCCCCTCACCTATTTTGGCTATTCTTTTGTGGGCCGTTTTTGATGGGCAGTGATTTTGAGACTGGATATACTGGCATAATGTCAAAATCGGGAAAAGGTAAAATGGGATTTGTTTTCCAGTGATCCTTCTGTCAATACTAGAGTTTTTCTGGCTTTGGAAGCATATTAGGATGATGTGTTTAGGGTACCATGAAGACATCAAAATCCTTTCCCTGCAACTTAATGGAAATGTCAGTGTTATATAAATATTATCATAGTATAGGAAGTAGAGGAGAGCTTTGAAGAGGCATCCTTTCCAAACAAAACCTGCTCGAAAGTAGAAGAGTTAAAGCAACAAAACCAAAGAAACAGGATGATTTATTCCTCTGATTTCCATTTTAGGGAGGGGGGATTCATACAACAGAGGGGAGAGCTGAGGGGGTTTTTAAATAGCTCTAGGTCTATCTACCCACAGAAAAGGTTATGCCATGGGTCCCTGCCGCCCTCCACTAGCATCTTTAAATTCCTATCCACTTCGTAATACTCAAAACTTTTCCTTTACAAAAAAAAAAAAAAAAATGGATCTAATAAAACCATTTATGTTAAGACACTGCTAACGTAGAAGATGTTTATTTTACCAGGTATATTTTTATTTTAAATGCGGAAAAAAAACTTATCAAAGTGATGAATATGTAAATATGCTTATTGCTATCTGGTAGACACAGTAAAAATGATGCTGATGATGGTAACAATGTTATTTCTACCAATAGGCAAATCCCGACTCCATTTCTGAAGAGTTATGAACCATCCTTTAGGTCATTAGGCAAAAATTTGTGCCTAACGTTATGAAAAATTCAGCATTCAAAAATATTTTCAAAGAAAAATCATTTTGGTTTTCCTGAATAAACATAATGCTATTGTTTTGTTTCTCTGATCTTCCTTTTATTTTTTTTTTCTGCTCTACCTGTAGATGTCTCCCTAAGTTCAGGATTATTCTATTTCCTTAAAAAATATTTGAAATGATGCCCATCTTAGAGACCCATAGGCTCTGTAAACACGGTCAGGAAAAGCTCATCTCTTTAATAATCTGCTTAGATGCACCTAATGTCATCCTTTGTGATTGTGATTTGTGGTCAATATAACTACATGTTGATAATTGTTCATGAACTGTGCTGCATTTGTGCTAAAATGATCTGTTCATTAGCAGTGAAGCTAGAATATGATCTTGGATATGAGATTCTTACTGAATTCTCTTTAGTAAATTCGTCTCTAATTCTCATTAACTCATTTTAAGTTACTAATTCTTCATGGCCTATTTCCTCCCTCTGCATTCAAACCTCTTGTTATACTGACCTCGTACCACTTAACATGAGATCAGGGCATGATATTAAGAGTATTTACACACAACACAAAACAAAAATTTCCCTGAAGCCCCTTAAAAAATAGCAATGCAGAATTTAATAACTTCTTTCAGGATTGTTCTTTTAATACCCTTTTGGTTCTGAGATCATGGGCAAAATATAATTAAGATAAATGTCATGAATTTATGTAATATGTACTTTCATTGGTTCGTTACCATTTGTTAAATTCTAACATGCTATTACTTTTGGAAAATTAAAACATATGAGATTTCATTGTGTTTTAGCAGTGCTGCATATGGCCAGTAAGCATTATATATGTCTATAGCAAAATGACATTTTTGCTGTTTAATTCTTTCTGTGAATGAATAGCTTAGCCTACAGCTTGCTTGGGATGGGGGTAGGGGGAGGGGGTAGAAGAATAGAGTAACGGAGATGACATTCTTAGGTTTTCTGGACTGTTTTTACTTGACTGCAAACAGTCTGTCCTATTGTCTCCTTTAGTTTTGTCATTTTATTAGACCATATGGTCATCAGAACAATTTAGTGACAATTTTCTGTCAGAATAAATGGTTATTTAGACAATAAGTTTAAAAGGACACTAAGCAGATGACCCTCCTTGCCTCTAACACGTTCTTTGGTTTAAGGCATCCAAGACCCCTAAACATATTTTTTAAAATTACAAATTCGTCTGTTAAAAGCCTGATATTAAATTAAACATTTACATTTGATTCTAAAAACATTGAGAGGCCATTGCTAATTGTGCACAGCTTGTGCACTGTCGAACTCCAGGGGGAGCCATTTACTTTGTAGTCTCACGCGGTCCTAGTCTTTCAAGGATTCTGCTGTGATTTGCCGTCTTAAAAGAGGGATGATGATAGAGCCCACGTCAAATGTTTAAGGATTAAATGAGATAATGCACGAAACCTGCTTTGAACTATGCGGCAGACAAAGACCAATAAATATTTTCTATAGTAATTATTATTTTTACACTTTATGCTAGCGTCACTTCTAGCCCTTGGAAATAAAAATAATATATGCATTTGACATGCTTCTTATTCTCAAGGGGCTGGTAGCCAGTTTGCAGCAGATGAGTTCCTAAGGAGATTGTGACTGTGTGTTGTAAAGGAGGTCCCATGTAGTGCTGTGAGAACACTAAAGAAGTTGCCAATTTTCTCCTGTGGGGGAAATGAAAGCTTCGAAGAGGAGACTACACCTGGAGCCTAAAACAATGAGAGAGGTTAAGTGGGCAGAAGTGTGAGTATGTAAAACAGGTAGGTGGAAACAGAGCTTATTCAGGGAAATGGGGACAGTCAATGTGGTTGAAGCATGCGATTCATGATAAGGTTGAAAAAAAGATATGGATCTTATCATTTATTAGCATCTTACCGTGAAATCTTTTTAAAAAATTGATTTCCTCCAGGTAGCTCACTGATTTCAGTAGAAGATAAATTTGTGTATTGTTGAAGCAGCCACACAATTTTGTATTTTTTTTCTTTTTATCTGAGCTATATGAATTTTTTTCTCTCACATCCCTTTTTATAATTAAGGCCTTTGTGATAGATAATAGCTTTTTCAAATGCCAATGAGATAAAAGGCGAGGAGACATTTTGCATTTCCCTTTTTGCCTAGGATTGGCCAAGGCGCCGGTGATTAGGGAGATATCTCTTGTTTTGGAATCCTTATTGATTACTCACTAAAAATGCAGTTTAGCTCACAATAGACCCCTTAGTTTCAATCCTTTTTGTAAACCTTACACTCAAACCCAGGGTCGTTGTAGTAAATATGTGTCACAAAGGAATCTGGCATCACTGGCAAATCATTCCATAGCTTGGGGGAGAAAGTAAAACTTTCAGATATGTGCTGTTATATATAAGTATGTTGGCAGCATCATTTAAATAAAATGGTTCAGAGGCCAAAAAAGGAAGACAAGCTGTGTTCCCTGCCTTTTTAGGTGAGAGGAGTTAATCACTTCTTATTTTGGCTTGCCCAAACAGAAAGACAGTTCTTCCCCCGCCCCCCAAACCCAGACTTTTTGACTAGAATATTTATTTTGGTTACGAGGCAAAGAACCAGGAATAGAAAATATTTTTTTTTTTTTTTGGTCTCAGGATTCCAAGTATCCTTTTTGCCCTCCAAAATGCTTATTATAGAAGACATTTGAGATAATTCTAGACTTACATTTGCT